AAAAAAAAAAAAAAAAAAAACAAAACAATGTGGATGGCACCTGCAAAATGAGCTGTAGTTGTCTGCTGGCCTCCACATTCGCATGTGCACGCACACTGCGGACACACAGACAGATGTACATGTACATGCACGTGTATACACACACACACACACACACACACACACACACACACACACACACACCACTACCATCGCCATCAACAATAAACCAATCCAAACCAAGAACCCTAAAAACCAAAACCAGAAACCACTTACAGGCCAGGGAGGAAGGGAGGCAGGGAGGGAGTGAGGGCGAAAGGGTGGGAGGGAAGAAAGGGGAGAGTGAGGGAGAGAGAGAGAGCTATCTCATTATTATTATTAAAAAAAATTATTAGTTCCTGAAGCTGTCGTGCTGCAACTGAAGGGCTCCCACATGTAGGTAGGTGACCTATCAGGATGGCAGCAGTAGTTGGCATCTTGACCCAGGGCAAGTGTCTGCGGTGGCAAATGCCGCAGAGAGCACAGGCCTGCGAATGAACTGACCAACTGAAGGCAAAGCTCCTCAGATGGGTTAAGATGTCATGGAAAGGGGCTTTTCTTCAGAGCGAGCATGAATGTGGCCAGGCATGAGCATTTGAGTGTGTTTGTGCTTGCGTGTGTGCGTGTGAGTGTGCCTGTGCATGTGTGTACACACGTGAGAGTGTACGTGTGAGCGTGTGCATGCATGTGCAGCATTTCTTCTTAGTAGAGTGTACCCTCGCACTTGATCTGGCTGCACTGATTCATCCTTGGACCTCTCCAGCCTCTACACCTAGCATTGAAAATGACAGTTTTTTTCATGTGGGTGCCGGGGATTGAACTCGGGTCCTCTTGCTTATGGGGTAATACTTCATTGACTGAACTAGCTCGTTAGCCCCCCACATTGAATATTTACTTATTTGTACTGAAGATTGAACCCAGAGCCTCATATACGATTACTAAGTGCTTTATCTCTGAGCTCTGTCCTAGCCTACAGTTTTTGAAACATGCAAAATAATGCTGAGCACTGTGGATGCTCTTAAGAATCTCTAGTAGACAGTTTCAAAGCACATCAGTGGCTTCTACCCCAGGGAAACAAGTTGAGCACCTATGTTCTCCAACACACACACACACACACACACACACACACCCATTATCCATAGTGTGTTTTTACTTCCGTCTGCATGATCTATCTGACAAAAAAATAGGAGTTGGCACCCCAAGTCTTGAAGGGGTAGCGATCTCTGTCATGAGGCCGTAAGGAGTGGGGAAGACACTGGTATCTGTGAACTGCCTGATAAAGCCAGTATTTCAGACTTAAAAGGTTCGTACAGATATTAATTCGGCTTAAATAAAAGTATAATCGACAAAGCCATTTTGTCTTCAGAGATAGCTCTGCACAAAAGCATTAACAAAAGTTATGAACCAATTAACAGACTCCTGGCTTTTTTCCTTTCTTTTTTGCTTTGTAAGATGGCTTTTAGGAAAAGTGTAACGTGTGTAGAATTTATTATTTCTTATAGCTAAAAGAGTTCTTTCCTTTTTGTGAAAAAGACTGTGTTAGTGTTACTTGAATTTTAATTTGTCTGCTTAAAAAGGTCCCAGGAGTGTGATACACAGACATGGCACTGTGATAAGGGCTAATAGTCAGGAGCTCTCGGGCCTTCCTCCTAAGTGCTCTGCTCTGGTGTGGCACGTGAGAACTGACCACATTTCTCAAGTTAACTTTAAAATTCTGAAAGAAAGCAGAGACAGCACCGGTTCCAGGCTCTTCCTTTCCAGTGGCAGCAGGAGGCAGTGGACAGGTTGGAGACTGCAGGTCAGTGATCTGGGTGGATGGAAAGTCTGGCTTCTCTTTAGTTCTGGGCAGAGTCTCTGACACCCAGGAGTCCCCCTGAGAGAAGCTGGGGTTCTGCCATCAGCACAGACAGTGTGGATTGGTAACGCAGACTATCACTGCAGCTCTAGTCTGTTTCTTTTCTTCTTAAAAAGATCAAATTGGGAGGATGGCTCAGTGGTGAAGAGCACTGGTTGCTCTTCCAGAGGACCTGGGTTCGATTCCCAGCACCCACATGACTACTCACAACTGTCTGTAACTCCTTTTCCAGGGGAATCAGACACACTCACATGGACACACTTGAGGTCAAAACAGCAATGCACATAAAATAAAAATAAATTAAAAAAATGAAATTAGAACTCGGGAGAGATGGCTCATTGTTAAGAGATCTTTCTGCTCTTGAGGACCTGGGTTCAGTTCCTAGCTTGGATATGGTGGCTCACAGCCATCTGTAGCTCTAGTTCCAGGGGATCCAGTACCCTTTTCTGGCTTCCCCAGGTGCATATACACATACATACAGAAAATACTAATATACGTAAAGCAAAGCAAATAAATTGAAAAACAAAAGTTGACCTAGATTGCAGAGTAAGAACAAGATCTTGTGTTCGCAGGTTTATTATTTGTGGTCTGATTTGCCCTGCCTCGATGGTTCTACAGCATAGATTCCAGCGGCCTTTGAGCAATGATAGTGCCTAGAAGTGGAGTTGCTGCCTTGCAGGCCAGCATTTGCCACAGTAGCTTCTGTCATATATTGTGGCACGTGCTGGGACTCTCTCAAAATGCTGAAAATTTTGATTACCAATAAAAACAAAACAAAAACCAAAACCCAAACCAACCAACCAACCACCACCACCAACAACAAAACTTACCACCCTTCCCATGCAAGCCAGCTATGAGTGCTGGTCCCGGAAGTGAAGACAAAGGTCAAATGTCTTAAGAAATGGTAATATGGGAATGGAGACATGACTCAGAAGTTTAAGATCCTTTGGCTGCTCTTCCAGAGACCCAGGTTCAATTAGCATCAGCCACAAGACAGTGTGCAACTGTCTAATGTTAGTTCTGGGGGATCTGACTCCCTCCTCTGGCCTCTGTGGGCACCAGTCACACACTTGGTGCCCAGACATACAGGCAGCCAAAACATCCATACACATGCCACCTAAGCAGAATAAAGAGTAGGACACTGACCTATATTGCATGGTGGTCTGATGAGTGTGCTAGTCCACGGAGTTCTAAAGGAAATAACAGACAGTGACATTTGAGTCAGGTGGTCGGCACATAAGGTGGCGCTTATGAAACATGCAAGTAGGGTGCAGCCAGGTGGGCACAGAGCCCAGGCTGTGTGTGGTAGCCAAGTGCTACAGAGCTGCTGCTTAGAAGTCTGATATGTTGTAGATGCTGTGGGAAAACAGACACTTTTTTCTTTTTAATTTATTTATCATGCATACAGTGTTCTGTCTGCATGCCAGAAGGGCACCAGATCTCATTCTAGATGGTTTTGAGACACCATGTAGTTGCTGGGAATTGAACTCAGGACCTCTGGAAGAGTAGCCAGTGCTCTTATCATCTGAGCCATCTCTCCAGCCCCAAACGGAAACGTTTTAAGCAGGGGTGACATGATTCTTTAGTTTTTGAGACAGGGTCTCAATGTGTAGCCCAGGCTAGCCTGAAACTCATGTTCTTCCTGGCGTCATCACCTAAGTGTTGAGATTATGGATGAACAGCGCCACACCCAGCTTTTTATTTTGATTGGCTCTGGCTTACGTTTCAAAAATTCTCCAATGCTTCTTCCTGGGAAACAAACTGAAATGTGGCTCAAAATAAGTGCCAATGTCAGTGCCCTAGACAAGGGTGGGAGGAGTAACTGTTGGTGACCCTTCCCTAGGCGACAATGGGCATCAGTGGAGAAATAAATACTGGGAAGTTTGAAGATGTGAGTTGGAGATAGGATTTATGTCTTGATGGTGAGTTATCTGTGTAGAAAGAGAAAAACTAACTAATGTTCATTTAACTCCTTGGCTTGCTAGATGAGACCATAAACCACTCTCCCAAAGAGAACTAGAATGAGAAAGCAGCCTTGTAGTGAGCAGTGATGAATTCCAACACTGAGTTTCAGTCTCATCTTACCATTCTTATCTTACCAACGAATCGTAATTATGATGTCTAAAACTGTAAATTCAGTACTCACCTCCTTCGTGGCAGGCAAGCATTAACCCCTAAGCATTATGCTTCTATAGGCCTGTCCACATTTAATCTAAGAAATCTGGAAGGCAGACCTTACCTAGTGAGAAAGAATATTACTTAGGAGAATGGTTTCAAG